GAGAGAGAGAGAGAGAGAGAGAGTGTGTGTGTGTGTGTGTGAGAGAGAGAGTTTATTTCTGTATGTGTTGGTGTGTGTGTGTGTGTGAGTGTGTGTGTGTGTGTGTGTGTGTGTGAAATTAATCAATAATAATAATTTCAGACTCTAAAAAATAAAATTATAAATGTATAATTATTCAATAATAATATATAATATTATTAATAACAACATATTTCAGACTAATACATTTAATAAATTTATATATACATGTCTGGCACATTTTTTAATGATATAATTTATTTATTTATGTTGCGTTTTGTAAATATTTATTTATTTATTTATTTGAAGTCTGAAATTCCTGGCACAAACTAAAAAGTGTGTCATCTAGTAAGATTTGTCTTCTCTTATATTATTACGTAATCCTGCTCCAGAGCCCTAGTTGTGTAACATTTTGTGGATTTGAAGCTTTATTCTCAATCCCAGTGAAATGAAGCATCTCTGCAGGAGCCACAGACCTCAGAGCTGCTGTTTCTTGACTCATCTCTCCTGCATTCCAGCATTAATTACAGTCAAAGCAAACAGCTGTTCCCTGTGAGAGAAGCCTTTTCCAGCCATTCTGTTCATGCATTTTCATTTATTTGTTAATATGCATGTTTAGTGACAGTCATATTGGATTTGGATGCAAGAATGTTAACCTTCCTTATTCTAGGACCTTATTAATAATTAATAACTTTTTAGATAGTTAGATGGGTTGCAATATAAGCAGTTGGAGACTTTGCACAGGCCAAAACAAGCATGAAAAAATATGTAAATATAAATAAAATAAAGTTCTTGTTGGTATATATATTAGCTCATAGGCTGTTATGTATTAATACAATATTTTTCCTCATGTGAACTAGTTTGAGGTGACAGCCAATCATCGCGCGGCGTCTGATCATCCTGCAGTGCGTGCACAAGCACCGCGCACATAACGCGCAGATCGCAGCGGGCGTCGCGTCGCGTCTCTCGGGTGTCTAATGTACACATGTTCTGCTAGACACCGACAGAAGGAAGAAGACGACAGAGGCGTTATTCAGGTAAGACTGCGCGATATGTCCGCTACAGCAGCGCGGTTCCCCTCAGAGCGTGCATTTTAATCGCATTTGAACCTCAGATATTGCGTTACTGAACGCGAGCGCGTTTATGGTTTTATCATTTTACCTAAAAAACAAACAAACAAAAAACAGACCGAGCAGGTTTAGCGCTTCATTATTAATGGCTGTCACGGAAGTCCGTTGGATTTACTTTCATTTTTGCTTTGTTGCGTAATTGCGCGCTGGTTTGTTGTGTTTGTCAGGACAATAACAGTGATCACGTGTTTCTTCAGGATGCTGCTGAGTTTATTATATAACTGTGATGCTGCTGATGAATACAGCGCTTACATAAACACCAGCAGAGAAGAGCTATAGATCTGAAATATAGAACTCAAAATATAGATGAAATCTATCTATCTATCTATCTATCTATCTATCCATCCATCTATAGGTATATTCATCCATCCATCCATCCATCCATACATCTATCTATAAGTCCATCATCCAATCATCCATCTGTAAGTCTATCCATCTATATGTCTGTCCATCCCTCCATCTATGCGTCTATTCATCCATCAATCCATCCATCATTAGTCTGTCCATCCGTCCATCCATCCATCCATCTATAAGCCCATCATCCATCTGTAAGTCTATTTCATCTATAACTGTGATGCTGCTGATGAACACAGCGCTTACATAAACACCAGCAGAGAAGAGCTATAGATCTGAAATATAGAACTCAAAATATAGATGAAATCTATCTATCTATCTATCCATCCATCTATAGGTATATTCATCCATCCATCCATCCATCCATACATCTATCTATAAGTCCATCATCCATCAATCCATCTGTAAGTCTATCCATCTATATGTCTGTCCATCCCTCCATCTATGCGTCTATTCATCCATCAATCCATCCATCATTAGTCTGTCCATCCGTCCATCCATCCATCCATCTATAAGCCCATCATCCATCTGTAAGTCTATTTCATCTATCTATGCATCCGTCCATCCATCTATACATCTATTGATCCATCCATCCATCCATCCATCTATAGTCTGTCCATCTGTCCATCCATCTATAGTCTGTCCATCCATCCATCCATCTATAGTCTGTCCATCCATCCATCCATCTATAGTCTGTCCATCCATCCATCCATCTATAGTCTGTCCATCCATCCATCCATCTATAGTCTGTCCATCCATCCATC